AAAACAAAAAAAAAAACAAAAACAAAAATCGGGGTAGATTAGACTGGGATCGTATTTGACTAATATAAAAAGGGGCTATGAGTTGGGATTGCCTCTTGTAAGTCTAAGAAATAGATCGAACAGAGGTGAATCTAAAATTGTCTACAAGCTGGTGCTCTTGAGCCAATAAGTAAGATAAACAGCGCAAGCAGTCACTAATTATATGAGTAGGTTAATGGCTAGGTCCCACAAGGAACTGTCAATTTACTCAAAAGCAATTCTACGCTAAGATATCCATTCCAAGAAATTTGTCCAATATAAAATAGCTGCGCTTGTAAGCACTCAGTATCAGGAGTTCTCCTAGCTAATCTGGTGGATAAACTAAGCAATGAGAAGGAAATTACTTCAAATATCAATATCCAGAATAGTACATATGAATAAGACTGTCTCAAAAAAAAAAAAAAAAGACTGTTTCATGGTTATTTGATGGACAGTTTTGGTGTCTACTGGCTTACATTTTAGTTTAATTTAATTTTTCTTGCACTCATTTGACACCTTGTAAAAGTGATAACACAGATTACACCATAAAGCAGGCCTGAAAGAGAATAAGAAGTGAGGAGAACCAGAACAGTGAGCATCAGTTAAAAGGCAGCTCATAACGGAAACAAAAGGAGAAAGACTGAGCACTATGAAGAGAGGAGAAAGTGAACTGCTTAGAGTAAGCAGCCAACTGTAAGCCTGCAAGATAAAGCCAGTGCTTGTGAAGTATTAATAATGCCCACTTAGTAACTGAAAACAAGTTGCAGAGGGAAAAACTATAAACTTGCAATAGTTGAGACTGAAATAGTTTCAACTTGGATATAAAATAATAATACTTTATCACAGTTGAAATATTAGTACTTTGCTCTGTGCAACATAATAAAAATAACTAATTTTCTTGTTAAAATTTATAAAAATTTGTAAATAAAAGTAAAGTTTTCCTGCCAAGTGTGGGTGGTGCACTCCTGTAATCCCAGCATCCAGCATTCAGGAGGTTGAGGCAGGAGGATCACCATGGGTTAGAGGCCAGCCTAGGTTATATAATGAATCCAAGGCCAACATGAATTACAAAGAAAGACCCTGTCTCAAAATAAAGTAAAACAGTAACAGGAAATTCACTCCCCGACCCCTGCCAGCATACTTTAGTTTGTTAGTTGCCCAGGTAATATAGTTCCTGTTCTAGATCTGGTTGTAACTGTCTCTTAGTAACAGCTGGTCACTGTGACACATAGCTGGTCATATGACGGACACTGTATAAAGCTATTCCCAATTGACAAGGCATTCTGCCTTTGTACTCCCTGCTTGTTTATTCAAGGTTTAGACACTGAGACTATCAGAGATTGGGGCCTGATATTCTGGGAATGGTCCAGATCGTGGGTACTGTTTTGGTGCTTCTGTTTGCTGTTGCATCTGGTGCACTGGCCAGAAAGACTAACATGCTGACCTTTTTGGCCACTGGTCATGGCACTCAGGATGGAGCCAGGATCCCTCCAGAGCCTGACAGGAAGGTGCCCCCTCGAGATTTCTCAAGTCCCCTCAGAGGTCTGGAGGAAGATTCATGGCTTCCCACTTCAGCAGTTCACATAATATCCTAAAGGGAGGGGGATATAATCTGTCTGTCTGTTTGCCTGCCTAATTTTGGAAAGGTGCCCAGGGGCAGCCCAGTTAGTCAGACCATCAGTCCTGCTCAGTTTGAGCAGAAGAGCTCAATCAATTCTTGTTAGTTAAGGCCACCCTCCAGGGGAGAGGATTGGAATGTTAAATCTCTGAGCACCTGCTGAATGTGTCAGGGAGTGGACTGGATAGCAATAGGCTGCTCCGTCTGTGCACCAAGACTGGGAGGCACTGGTCACAGTGGTCGATTGGGCCCTCACCTGCAGTTCCATGGTGATCATAACAGAGGCCTCCTTAGCTAGGTTGCGCCTAAGTCTCTGCAAGAGGTACAGCCCGGTGGGCATCTGAATGGTCTCTCTCTGAGGGACACCCACTCTTTGTTGCACCATCATTCAAGCATACAGAACATACACTGAAAGGAGATAGAATGGAAACCAATTAGTTAAAACCCACAGCACCTGACTACAGGAAAAAGGGTTTTTATGGAGTTAAAAATAAAACCAAACTATTCCCTGCATCTCAAAGGGGGAAAAAAGGAAAGAAGCAACTTATTCTTCCTGAGGGTTCATTGGCTGTTGCAGTTGCTGTCAACCACTTAGCTTCGCTCCTGCTCCTGACTTTATCTATTTCCAGCTAATCATTGCCTACATTTGGCCATAGAAGGTCTTCTTCCAGAGCTTTCTGCTTATACACCTATCTTTATCAGACAGCATAATCTAATGCCCACCCAAGATGACTGTCAACAATTCCTTCTGAGGCCAGGTATGGTGGCACACACCTGTAATCCCAGCACTCGGGGGGCTGAGGGAGGATGATTGCTGCCAGTTCTAGGCCAGCCAAAGCTATAAAGGGAGTTCAAGGGTACTCGGAACTGCACAGTGAAACCCTGTCTCAAAAAGACAAAAAAAAAAAAACAACACAGAACAATTCTTTCTGAGTTCCACTTTTTGACTGAGGGAAAATTGGAACCTCATCCCTGACAAATGAGTTGTGCCCTATCAAGCCTCCATAGATAGGACCGACGAAGCTCTATCAAATTGGGCCCATGAGAGCCTGTGGTCTTTGCAAAAGTCAGGGGCAAACTATACCTTTCCTGGTAGATAATGGGACAGAGCTCTCTGCCTTCAAAACAGTTCCCTCTGTTAAGAAGTTACCAGCACTGGGACAAGTGGGACGCTTGCCTCTTGCCCCTTCTGCCAAGCATGAAATTATGGCCTGGGAGGGCATCTCCTTTACCAAGTCAGTCAACCTCGCTCTCATTTAACCCTGCATATTCAACTTCAAATGTTCCCTTAGAGGAAAAAGATGCCTGCATCAGCTCGAGACAAATAACTGCAATACTAAAGCTCTGGAAACTCTCCTCCCAGAGGTATAAGACTAAAGACTCACCTCTAGACCTGGGTATCAACCATGCTGCCTCACTGGACATCAACCATGCTGCCTCCCCCCATTGCTATCAGATTTCACAGAAAGCACAAATAGGCATCCAGCTACACACCAACCTGACAAGACTGTTGATCACCTTGGGTAAGAGCTTCATGCTATCAACCACACAGAAAAGATACCTTCCTTTGCTTGCAAGTTGCTCCCATAAGCCCCCTCAGCTGGGAAAATCCTGAGATTAAAAAGCCAGTTCACTTGGATTCAATTGCAGTAAGGTTGGTTAAAAACTCTCCCACCTTGATTCTTCACGACAGAAAAGCCCTTCCTAGGGGCCAGGGTGATGGCTCAGTGGAATAAGTACTTTCCTGGCAAGCACAGGGTCCTAAGTTCAATCCCTGGTTCTGCCAAAAAAAAAAAAAAAAAGAAAGAAAGAAAGAAAGAAAGAAAGAAAGAAAGAAAGAAAGAAAGAAAGAAAGACCCTTCCTAGTTGTCAACACAAACCCACAAGGTCACCTGAGGGGCTCTCCGATTCAGGCCAAGCAAGAAAAGCTTTATCCCATTCAGCACATCCCACCTGCCTCCTCCTTACACTCATCAACTCCAAGCTGCTCAGCCAGCCAAGACATTGCCTGTTCTTTTCCTGCCCCACAGCCTCCTGCTAACACTGAAGAACGCTGTTGTATTTTAGATGGAGCTCAAGCCTGGTTAAAGTCAAAAGTTCCAGCCACTGAGGTTGATCCTAGTGCTTGGGAGAACCCAGTCCTCCCATGAATGTGTCCAAAGTGGGACTATAATGAAACAGAGGGCCATAAAGCTTTAGATCAGTACTGCACTACTCTCCTGGCAGACCTGAGAGAGGGAAGCAAGAAGTAAATAAACATGTCTAAGGTTACTGAAGTTACCCACTACAATTCTGCCAAAGCAGATTCTGTGAGATTGATGGACACTTTATTGAACATGAATTCTTATTTATTTGTGTGTGTGTGTGTGTGTGTGTGTGTGTGTGGCCAGCTCAGCCCACCAGGGGGCAGGGCTGGCTGGCATGTGGTGCTGGGGGATTAAACCGCGGTCCCTGTGCTTTGCTAAGCTTGTTTTAAATAGGTGCTTTAGACCACTGAGCCATCTCACCAGCCCCTGAACATGAATTCTTATACATGCTTGAGTGCCCTTCCTCTCCTGGGACGTGACCAGCCTCGCTCACACTCCAGGCACTGTCTCGGACTTGATACTGACTCTGACTGTACCCTGGGAGAAAGAGGACCTACATCAGCCCGAAATGCCTGATAGTCAAAACCCTGAAGTTTTGAGAGACTAATTTCCAGAAGTATTGACAAAGGACTCACCCCCGGGGCTTGCTACCAATCATGCCCCCTTGGTGATCAAGTTCTATCCCAAGGCAACCCCAGTACACCTCTCCTGCCTGTGAACCCAATTCAAGATCTCCAAGCTGCCAATGCAGCTGCAACTGCTCTCTGTATATGTTGCCTGAGTCTCCTGCCATCCCACAGCCTGCACCTGCAGATAGATACAGCTGTCTGGATGTTTAAAAAAAAAGTCTTCTGCCTTCAATTGGATACTGTCAGCCAGCTCCTCTTTGCCTTTAAATGGAAAAAACTTCTGGACTACCTTAACTCAACCTCCCAACAGTTCAAAAACTTGTTTTCTCTTCACTGCATTTCTGATTGATGACGCCCAAGCTGCCTGCTGGAAAGACACAGAAGCTCTGCTACAATATCTAGCAGAAACTGGTTCCATGTTCTAACAGCTACTGTCTTTCTGATCAAGAAAACTGACAAGTTCACCTTCAGTGAGACCTAACTCTCCAGGTGTCACATGCTATACTGGGATAAAATGCTCTTGAAAAAAAAAAGGACCCCCCTGACAGATGCTGAGTACACTCTGTTTACAGATGAAAGTAGCTCAGTTAAAGTCCAACAGGCTAGATATGGTGTGGTCACTTTGGACAAAACTATTTTGGCCAAAACTCTCCTGCACGGATGATCTGCACAGCAAACTGCTGAATGGAAATCTGCCAACAATGACACAAAGTAATCCAATCCACAGGTCTGCATCCCTTCCAGGGACCCAACTGACTGAAACCTGGTACTTCTGGGAAATCAGAGCCAACCCTGCCCCCACCATTTGTTCTGAAAGCCCAAACCACTGTGCTGGCACCTGTACCCCTTCAGCCAGATCAGGCTTCAGCATTTGTGTCATAGGCCCTGACTGCCCAGTCCCTAGCCATACTGAGAAGACAACAAAAGTCTGTAGGTTCCGGCTGTAAAAAAATCATCCCTAGATGGCCTACCCTTGATCACTGGCAGTGAAGGCAAAACTGCATTTGCAGAGGTTACTCTATGCTAGATTTAATAAAAACTATATATAGCACAAAAGCCACAAAGCTCTAAAAAGTTTTTCTCAAAACCAAAAAAGCTTGTAACCAGTTAAAGGCCAACTATATCTGTACACATTCCTACATACACATATAACGAAGTCCATATTAACACAGGTTTCAGATATCCAGCCTTAGATCTGCTAAAAATTTTACCCTGATAGCTTCTCCACGTCTCACTCTGAAAAGACAAGGCATGCACGACTGAAGCCTGAGGACGCAGTTCACAGGATTGCTCCATACCTATTCTCTTTGATTCTTTGCCTTTTCAGGCTGCTTAACACATTCTTTGCTTCCCCACAGCCGGCTAACTCAGGGGTTTTGGGTTTTTTTCCCCCTTAAACTCTAGGGAAAGTTACCCCAAGAGAACAGAACAATCAGTCAAGCACTTGACCAAGATTTGATGAGCATCCAAAACGCACTGGACATTCTCCTAGAGCAGAATTAACTGTTTACACTCTCTTCACAGGAAAAACAAAAGAGGGAGAAAATGTAACAGAAAATCCCTACCCCCAACCAGTATACTTCAGTTTGTTAGTTGCCTAGGTGATAGTTCCTGTTCTAGTTCTGGCTGCTCCTGTCTCTTAGAAACAGCAGATTACTGTGATACCTAGCTGGTCACTATGATGCAAAGTGTATAAACCAATCCCCAGGGCTGGCCATATAGCTCAGCAGATTAAAGCACTTGCAAGCAGGTACAGGGGCTAGGGGTTCGATCCCCAGGCCTGCCATGCCGGCCCCGCCCCGGGGGCACACTGAGAGGGTGATTGAGACTGGGTGTGGTGGTGCCTGCAATCCCAGCACTTGGGAGGCTGCAAACAGGAGAATCACTATGAGTACGATCTAGTAATGAGACCCTAAACACCCTGTAGACGTTTCCTTAAAAAAAAAAAAAAAAAAAAAAAAAATCCACAATTAAAAAGTTTTTCTGCCTCTGTATTTTCTGCTTATCTCTATTTTTTTTTTAAATGTATTTAGTACAAGGTCTACAGGGTTTCACTATACAGACTGTACTTGTAGTGATCCTCCTGTTTTCCACCTCACCAGTGCTGGGATTAAAGGCCAGCGCCAGGCGCTGACAGCACAGCGGGATCGACCAGGTCCCTGAGTCTGCCTAAGCAGGTGCTTTAATCCACTGAGCTATCCAGCCAGCCCTTCTGCTTGTTTATCTAATATAAGCCCTAGACCACCAGAGACCAAGGCCTGATATTCTGAGAATGATCCTGATCAGTGCCTGTCAACATAAATAAACCTGTCTCCAAATCCTGAGTGTCATTTTGGGATTTCTACTTGCCATTGCAAAACAAGGCTTTCCTGATAAAAGAAGAGCAATTGAACTTGCAACTATTTTTCTCTGCCATTTCCCTAGATCACTAGTCCCCCCAGCTCAATAGTTCTGACTTTACCCTAATGAGGAGTCAAAGTTGCCAACAACAGCAAAGAAAGCATATTAAAAGCAAACAAAAAAGAAGCATTCAATGTTAAAGAAGAGGATAAAATGCCAAGACCTTAAATTTAGAAAAAACACATTTAAATGAGGGTGCACTACCCGAGACTGTAATATTGGCTCACTTGTCTGTACTGCAGGCTGCTCCACTGGCAGATGTCCTGACTCCTCAGAGCACAAGGAGCTTCCGTCTCTGACTGGGCCCAGCATTTCAGCACTGGGAACTCTAAGGGAAGTAGAAGAACACATTATCAGAAAACCTAGGCTCTTACTGAACCTCAACACAAGTTTTTAGTACTAGGATAAGAGTAATATATTTCAATACACATTGCAGGTGACTTGGATCCATCCATCCATCATGCAGTTATTTTACTATTTTTTTAAATATGAAACCTAATAAATCAAAATTATAATATTACAAGAGGCCAGGCTTGGTGGCGCATGGCTATAATCTCAGCACTCAGAATACTGAGGTAGGAGGATCAGTGAGAGTTCAAAGCTAGCCTCAGCTACATAATGAGTTTAAGGTTAACCTGCACTATATAGTGAGACCCTGTCTCAAAAATTAATTAATATACTATAGAGGCTAAACATGTCTTCATAAATTCCATTAAAAATTTAAAACTTATTTTTCAGTACTGGAGATTGAACCCTGGGCCTCACACATGCGAGACAAGCACTCGACACTGAGCTACTTCCTAGTTCTTTTTTTTTTTTTTTTTTGGCAGAACCAGGGATTGAACTCAGGCCTTTGCACTTGCCAGGGAAGCACATATTCTTCTGTCTTTTTTCTTTTATGTTTAAAATTTTAGACCTGTTCTCAATTTAAGTCACTAACTTGCCCAAATTAAACTCAAATTTGCAATCCAACATGTGTCACTGTGCCCCGCTTTGGGTCTTTATTTTGAGATACAGTCTATTTAAAGCATTTTAGGCTGGCCTTGAATTTAGTCCTCCTGAGTACCTGGATTACAGGTATATGCCACTACACTGAGTCTTTTTGGATGCATAATATACATTCAGAAAAGTGGAAATAAGAGATTTTTTTAAATGGACAACACTAAATGATCGTACCTAACAATCTTGCCCAAAAAGATAATAAAATATCGTATAAGGAAACACTTAAATGTCAGCACCATAAATTACTCTTAGAGGGAAAGGGGAAGCTATATTGGGATCTAACAAACAGAACTGCTGTTAGGGTGGCCAGAAAAGTGCAATCTCCTAATCTGGTGGTAGTTACAAGGGTATTTCCATTGCTATAATCCATGAAAATCTGTATCTGTGTAGTTTTTCCCTATCTACACTTCATTTTATGATTAAAAGTTATTTTTTAAAAAGCACACCTTTGCCATCATATTACTATTATTTTCAATCTTCAGAAAAGACTTTCATGTTTATCCCCAGTATATGGTGTTCATGCCAGCCCCACCCCTGGGCACACTGAGATGGTAATTAAGACTGAGCATGGATTATGTGCATTAGATTACGCACCGGTAATCCCAGCTCTTGGGAGGCTGAAAACAAGAGAATTACTACAAGTCCAATCTATATAGTGAGACCCTATAGACTCTGCAGACCCTGCACCAAATACATAAAAAAAAGAAAAAAAGAAAAGACTTTCAACTCTCACCTTGATCACAGGACATCAACAGATCTGGGTTACTGACCACTATCAAGGTTTCTGCATCCTCACTGTGTGGCCGGTGGTAGCGATAGTGCACAGGC